TCCCGCCCCCACATTCCCACACCCCCACTTTTATTGATTTCCCTCATCGCTGACATGTTTTATTTCGTCCTCGTTCCCATATAGCTGTACTGGCCCGACGAGAATTTATTGGAAGCTACGTATGCTCGCCACCTCGTCTTCTTCTGCCTTGTTATCTTTGCCCGCTCACCACCTTCATTTCAGCAATGAGCTAGCTCAACGGCTAGACAACCTTCCTATCGCTGTCGCCGACGACGCCGCCGCTGCCGAGAACGCCTCCGTGGAGAACCGCTGGTGTCGACCGCGAGACACGGTCCAGTCGACGGCGCTCGCCGTCCTCGGTCGCGCTCCCCGCCAACACCAGGACTGGTTCGACGACAACGACGCCGCCATCAGAAATCTGCTAGCTGAGAAGAACCGCCTACACAAAGCCTACGTAGATCACCCCACTGATGCCACCAAAGCTGCCTTCTAGCGCAGTCGCCGCCAACTACAGCAACGACTGCGCGAGATGCAGGACGCCTGGACTGCTCGCAAAGCTGAGGAGATCCAAGGGTACGCGGACCGCAACGAATGGAAGAACTTCTTCTCTGCGATCAAAGCTGTCTACGGTCCGCCGACGAAGGGCACTGCTCCTCTCCTCAACGCCGACGGCAACACTCTCCTGACTGAGAAGACGCAAATGCTGCAGCGATGGGCCGAGCATTTTCGAGGCGTCCTCAACCGCCCTTCCGCCATCTCTGACGCCGCCATCGAGCGTTTGCCGCAAGTGGAGACCAACGTGGACCTCGACCTCCCGCCATCTCTCCAGGAAACGATCAGGGCCGTGCAGCAGCTCTCCAGCGGGAAAGCACCTGGATCGGACGCGATCCCTGCTGAGGTCTACAAGCACGGGGGTCCCCAACTAATGGATCACCTGACTGCGCTCTTCCAGGAGATGTGGCGTCAAGGTGAAGTCCCGCAAAGACGCAACCATCGTGCATCTCTACAAGCGCAAAGGGAATCGCCAAGTCTGCGACAATCACCGCGGCATCTCCCTACTGAACATCGCCGGGAAGATCTTCGCTCGCATCCTGCTCAACCGCCTCAATAACCATCTGGAA